GGCCCTCACCAGGCTACTTTTGTTTATTTTCTCGGGGTGAGAAGTTGAAGGTTTTTGTACGTGTACTATGGGACAGGGAAGGGTGGAATTGTTCGTTTCTCGAGGGCTATATATAGCATGTTAGACATGATGTGTATTACTGCGAAGGTGTTTGTCACGGTGTGATGTTCTGAATGTCCTGGAATGGTTTCTCTTTGGTGTGGTTTGATGGTTTTTTGCTTTCTGTACCTGATCTTTTGTGAAATAAAGTTGTTAAAAGTCAAAAGTCCTTCCTTCCTTCCTTTCTGACTACCAATCTTATGTTCAAAAGCTGTTATGATATGACCTTAAATATAAATGTACTAATTTAGGTAGTCACTGTAAGGTGTACTGCTCAGGTGGCTTAGGATTTAATCAAGTTAATTGTGGCAGAGGAGATGATGCATAGAATGTCATTTCTTGTTTCTGCAGACATTTTTGTAAAAAGCTTTTTATGGGTTCTAGTTTCTTTTCACTAGACCAGGAGGGTTGTGCATCCTTTTAAGATTTAGGTTTGGGTTTTTTTTTTCCTTTTAAAACAACACTGTAAAGCTATTTTAAATTTGACTTTCTCCATTTTATGCCTTCCTTCCACAGACTATGCTAACAGCAATTTCAATGAGTGCAATAGCAACAAATGGTGTAGTCCCAGGTAAATCCCACCTTTTTTATTCTGAATGTGAAACCTTAAGTGATGATGCATACTTTTTTTATACTGCATAGACAGCATATGTAAATTGTATAACCAAGTGAAAGTTGGGATGGTAAAACAAAATTGTGGAACGTCATCCAGTAATGCTAACATAAAGCCCCAAACTTCTGTTTGAACTATGTATCTTTTTTGAGGAATGTGCTCATCCAAAATGCTTATAGAAATTGTCTTGCCTGCTGCTTTTATTATGGCCAGTTTTTCTTCAGCTCTGTTTACTGGCATTACTTTGTGTCCTCAGCCAAGAACACTTGATATTGGGAAGGGGGAACTTCATGTTATCTCCACTACTATAGTGCACTGTCTTCAGTAGGCAGTTTAATGTCCTTTTTGCGCACAAAGTATGTCAGTCTATTGCTCAGTTGGCTTAAGTGTTTCTGTGTGGGAAGGTGGGCCTTTGCTGCTCTGTTCCTGAGTGTACACCAAGATCCACCCCCTACATCCAAGCGTAAATGCTTATACCTCCAGTGAATTGCATATTGTTTTTCCCCACACTTGAGCACTGAAAAATATTCTCTCTTCCTGGCTTTATTAATTTGTCTTTGATCTAGCCCCACTCTCAGTATTCAATTTACCTGCTACCACCACACGACATACTGAGGTTGAGCAAACAATTGGGTAGCTAGTGCTCTATAGCCCATGTTGACTCTTGACATTCTGGTACATTTGCACTGGTGTATTCAGTGATGATGACATTCTTCCCTGACAACTTGATTAGTGTCTTAAAATTCCAAAAATTTAGATTTAACTGGAGCTATGGGCATAATACTACTAACCTGATCTTTCAATAGAAATAGGACTAATTGGTGCGACATCAAAATACAGATGCACTTGAGATGAGCCTTTTCAATGTGCCTGATTTTAATAAAAATCAGAATTGATTTCCTTTGGTATTAGCTTTATTTTAGAATGCATAAGTTACAGTATTTTTATAAGCTTCAATAGAGGCTGAACTTATAAGTCTACTAACACAAAACCAAGTGAAATCACTTTGTAAACAATATCTTGGTTGAATGATATTTTTTTCCACTGGATGTTGCCATTTCCATTTTATTGTGTTTTGAAAACGTAGATATGCAGGATGCCAGTAGAGTAACTTTTAAATGTTCAGAACTGAAAGAATATCAATGTTCCAATTTATTCTTCACCATTCCTGACATTAGTTTATTTTTATTGACTTATGCTTATCAGTTTTGGTTTTCTCCTTGCCTTTATGTAACTTGTTTTACTATCTAGCTTTGATATGTCAATATAATTTTGCAAAGTTAAGGCTGTTAGGAATCCTACTCCTTTTAAAAATTCTGTTTGTTGAAATGCCTTATTTTACAACAAAATAATTTTCCCCCTCTCCATTTTGAGCATATATTGTAGTGATCAAATCAGCCAATTGCAGCTTGGGTCATAAAATTTAGGTTTCCAGTAAACACCACCCCCTCTCATGCCACCTAAAATTTATACATAAATAACGACCGAAGGGATGCATGCATTTCAGGATTTGATTTTGTTAATGTTGACTTTTACAGCTGGTGGTTCATACTACATGATTTCAAGATCTTTAGGGCCAGAGTTTGGCGGAGCAGTGGGTCTCTGTTTTTACTTGGGTACAACCTTTGCAGGAGCTATGTATATTCTTGGTACCATTGAAATTTTGTTGGTAAGTACTAGTTATATCCCCTTAATATAAATATATTTGATCAGATTTTGGAAGTTTTAGGGTGCACATGCTCAAGTTGGTCAGAGTTACTTTTCCAAATAGTTATTGAATATTTTATCTTTGGAGATGCTCTAGTTTTCCTTCAAGAATGAGGAATCTGTTGAAAGGATTTATCTGTAGCATATAGCTCTGTTCTATATTAATAACATTTTGTTCAAATGCTGATAAGCCAGGAAGTAAACAATTAAGGTGATCAGCTACATTTCTCTTTCACTTGCACTAAAATAAAACTTGTTGGCCTATTGCTAATACAACTTCTTAGCATGAAATGCTTCAGAAACTGCAGTGAAGTGTTAACTCTGGCATTCTGATAAGGAGGATGTTTGCTGAACATATAACTTCATCTTTTAGTGTGGGTGTGGTGGCTTGTATTTATTTGGATTTTCTAGGGTGGGGGGAAAGACGAGAGACTTTTAACTGCGTGTCCTCCTTGTGTTTATGCCAGTTAGGGCTTCGTGGTAATTAATTAATCTTTTTGGTATTAACAATGTTGTGGAAAGAACACAGTAATTGGTAAGTCTACTTTTCTACTTACAGCAGTAGAAAGTATGATGGATGACCTTACTTGTTTAGGGATGCTTCTTTAAACCAATAATATTGCATGCCAGGGGGGGTATAGCAGGGAATTGATCATTCTAGATCAATGATTTGCAACCTTTTTTAGACTCAAGATACTTCCTTGATAAATTCAAGGCATCCTTTCATAGACTTGGGGCGTTCCTCAGAGACTGTCAGCTCTTAGTCTTCATACTTTTTGACTACAGAAAAATAATAGAACAATAAAAATAGCTAAAGCACCCTGATTGGAAATCACTGCTCTAGATGCATCTAGTTCATATGCTCTACTTCTAAAGCACCCACTACTGCTGCTGCTGTCTTTGGAGACAGGATACTGGGCTAGATAGGCCAGTGGTCTGGCCCAGTACATGACTTTATTTTCTTATTTCCCAGTTTGCCAAGCTTTGAGGAAAATGTTTTTTCCTATGTGAATTTCCCTAGTTGTTTTTTTTAACAAAAACACTTCTGTACATTGAGGATGAAAATGGAATAACCATATTTTAGAAAAAAATAACATAGAAAACATGGTGGTTAATAGTCTCTCTTACTTCAGAAGTATGTTGATGTTAGATTAAACAGGACCATCACAGCTTGGAATATCTGCTGTCATGTAAGAGACAGAGCACTACATAGCAAAACTTGTAGTTGTTAGAAACATGCTTTAAAGTTGGTGGTGCTGAAGTCAGTGTAACAGATTGAAGGGGGTCACTGGAATTTTTCATACATATAGTTGTTAGCCATCAGTGCTATCATATACTGTGAACGCACACCTCAAATCATAGGATCATATAGAAATAGGACTGGAAGGGACCTTGGGATCTAGTCCAAACCCCAGACCAAGGCAGGATCATCCCTATCCGAACCATCTTATAAAAATCCACTGTCTAACCGCTTAGCAAAACTACACAGTCAAACCTGGCACAATACAAAACAAAACACCCTTATCTGCCACAGGTAAAGCAGGGGGGGGCCAGCAGCCAACATCCTGCTGCTGCGAGGGTTGTTAAAATACATGAGAAACTCCCAGAAAGAGGGCAGCGTTCCACACTATAAAGGAAGGTAAAATTGCCCACACTCCATACTTATCTGAGCAGGGGGTAAAACTTAATTTTTGACCCCAAATATGGTGATCAGTTGGACCCTGAGTCAGACCGTCTAGTCGGAAGCCTTTGGGTTTAAGTTCCACCAGGAGAACTGCCACACCCCAGTCAAAATTCCTGGCCTTGACTGCAGCCAACACTTAGTGCCTCTGAGGAAGAATAAAAAACTCTTGACGCGCAGCAGCAGGAGGGAAAAAAATTTGCTCCCAGACCCATGAGACAACCAACAAAGCCCTGAAGTATGGGTAATACCCCTAGCAGAGCATAGGTATAGCTAAACATAGATTAAGCCTGACCAGTGACTGTCCAACCTCTTCTTGAACACCTCCAGTGATGGAGAGTCCACAGCTTCCCTAGGAGGTTTGTTCCACTGCCTCACTGTTCTAACAATGAAGAAATCTTTCCTGGTATGCAATCTAATCTACTGTATTGCAACTTTATGCCATTGGTCCATGTCCTATTTTCTGCAGCAAGAGAAGAGGTGTTTTCTCTCTTCTTTCTGGAAGCCTTTAAGTAGTCTTCAAATACTTTATTATGTTCCCTCTTATGCACCTCTTCTACAAGGTGAAAATACCTATTTCTTTCAACCTTTCCTTCCAAGCCCTTTATCAGCTTTGTCTCCTGTTTCTGAACCCTCTCTAACTGCTCCATGTCCTTTTTTTTTTTATAAATGTGGAGCCCAAAACTGCACACGCTACTCTAGACAAGGCCTAACCAGGCCCAAGTAGTGGCACTATCACTTCCTGTGTCTTTCACCTAATGCTTCTATTGATGTATCCCAAAACCACTTTCACCTTTTGTGCAGCTGAATTGCACTGTAGACTCATTGGGCACATCCAGACAAGTGTACACATGCAGGGACGCAAGCTTTCTGTGGAACAAACGGCAACAATGCACATTTGTGCTGCTGCTTTTTGCCCAAGGGCATACCCCTGCATGTGTGCTCCAGAGCCTGGCAAATTGGCCTGGGATAGAGGAGCCTGGGGCCTTTACCTGGGGCTCCGGGGGCATCCCAGGGCAGCAGCAGCACTGGTCTAGCTGCACGGAACCCAGCCAGCCAGGATCCACTTCTGGCAGTGCACGCTGCTGCTGTGTTCGTGTTTTTTGACACTAGGCTCTCCCAGTGTCAAATTTTGGCACCATGCTGCATATAAGCAGCACAGTGAATGGGTGCACATGCACCATGTGTAGTTTGCGATGCCTCTAACAGCTTTGAGGTGCCACAAACTGCATGTGTGCTTGTTTGGATGTGTCCATTGAGTCTGAGTTTTACCAAGATTCTCAGATTTGTTCCCAGTAGTTCTGCCATCCAGCCAGGTGTCACCAATTTTAATTTGTATTTCTGATTATTTTTCCTGAGGTGTGTAGCACCTTGTATTTGTCAGCATTTGATCTTCATTCTCTTAGCTCCAGCCCAGCTTCCCCATCTGTTGATCCTTCTGAATTGTGCTGCTGTCCTCCAGCATGTTCCCAGTCCATCCTAGTTTTGTCTTCTGCAACCTTGCTTTCAGCGTCCAAATCATTAATAAACACGTTGAACAGCATTGGGCCCAGGACAGACCCCTGCGGGATTCTACTCAAAAACTCTTGTCATTCTGTCGTGGATCCCTATATAGACTGGATCCCAGTAGTCTTTCCTACCCAAGTGCAGGGGGGTTGGACCCGATTATCTGTATGGTCCCTTCCAGCCCCCAAACATCTATAATTACACTTTGCTTGCTTCTATTGATCCTACTACGTTTTTATAGTAGTTTTGTTTAGTCCACATTTCTCCGATTTGTTCGAGAAGGTCATATGGGACCTTATATCTGGACTTCAGCAAGGCTTTTGACACTATCTACAGCATTCTCTTCATCCACCCAGGTAATTGTTTGGTCAAAGAAGATCAAGTTTGGGTTTTTGTTTCTTTGGGTTTTTTTGTTTGTTTTCTACATGATTTGTTCAGATGGGACAAAGCATTTTTTCACTTGAAATTTCAAAATGAAAAAGATCACAGTCATTTTTGTAGAGAGATGTCTATACTTTGGAAGCTTTAATATACAGACCAGGAGTATGCTCTGAAAATAGTTTTAATGTTGAGAAACTAGGACCTTCCTGCTCCCACCTTTTTTTATTTTTGGTTCCTTAATATTCTAAAATCTATTATTCCCTTACAGCTTTCTAATATACAGAAAGTTAAAAGCATGGCTGTCACTTCACTTATGTTTGGGGACTTCTTTTCCTCCGCTCAAATATTTAGCAGATCTTCCTGTTCTTTCTCCTGCTGCACACAGTTCTATAGTAAAACTTTTACTCTGACTTTTCAGCCACTCCACCATCATATCATGTTACCGTTCTGCCATGTGGTTGCAGAGTTTCAGGGCCTCTTAGATCAGTTTCACATTTGGATCCATTGAATCCAAACATGCCCACATAATTGGACGTATTTTTTTTAATGGAAATTTTAGTGTTGAAGTCTCCTGCTTTCTGAAGCAGAACTAATAAGACTGCACAAGACAGCAGGCCAGACATGAACTTCCCGGAGTTATTGCACAATCTCCAGCAAAACCTGCTTAGTAGCACATCGTTTAATATATAACCCTTGCTTCAGACCCAACACCTAGAACATCATGGGCTGGGAAAGGGTACTTGGCACTAGCCTTTCTTTTTGTGCATCTGCTCTGAAACCCAAAAGGAGCCTCAAAGGCCAGCTTTTATGACTAACATGATAAGCTTTATTCTCTTGGTGTCATGTAAGCACCACTAAAGTGCATGGGATTTTTGCCACTGAATCCAGTGGGGCCAAATTTTCACTTTTCATCCCCTTAAATCTTTGAATGTGTTCTTTAAAGCCAAACAGCAACTCATTCCAATGCTACTACAGTGTTCTGTATCCACAGGCATGGGGTATGACACTTCTTCGGATGCAAGGAAGCTATCAGTCTCTGGAACTGGTGCATCCATCACCAGACACTTGTCAGCTGTGCATCCACAGCCCTCAAATCCATTAACAGTAAATGCATCTCCCTCAGCCACAAATCAAGAACTCTGTCCTTGACTTGGACATTCTCCAGGACTTAAGTGATCTTTGGATGGACTACTTTGCCTCCTGTATCAAATACAATACATAAAATACAAATAAAATTTTGAGTCGATATATGGATCCTGTGGGTTTCTCAACTTGGGGTCATAGCTTTGTTCATATGTATGTCCAGCTGCTCCAGTGGACCAGATCTGGCCTCCAGTGCCTGGTTATCCAGCCTGTGTAGCTTCCCGTGCGTACAAAACTTTGGTAATGGGAGAACAATCCCACTGCTCCCCTGCTGCCAAATTTCCAGGACCATGGGGAGCCCTGTGGGTCAGATAATGTAGTTCTGCACATTAGATCAGGCATTCAGGGTGGTGTGGGGCCTGATTCCTAGTGGGCAGGGGTAGCATGTGGGCTCGATTCCTAGTGCATGGGGTTGCTCCGCACCACTTACCTGACCCAGGGTGCCACAAGATTGGCCACTACTGGTGTTTTGTTTGTTTTTTTTATAGCTGTGTCAACTATAAAAGTGGCTCAAAAACAAGCCTTGTTAGTTTTCAATACTGAAGCAGTGGCTATGGCTCCATAATGAAAACCACTTTTGGAAATAACTGCTCTTAACCACATTATAATCCTAGATTTGTCTGAGGTTATTTGCTGTCCTTTTTGCTAACTGTATATCTGTGCATCTGTCTACAGTAGGGAAACTGATGCTGGAAAGAATAAAGGTGAACATGTTTTTAAGATTTACAAACTCAAGAAAATGTCATTTATAGTTTTTATATGAAAGATCTGGAATCTTATTTAAAAAAAAAAAAAAAGTCCTTGACTACTTTGTTTTCTTTTGTAGACGTATATTTCTCCTAGTGCTGCTATATTTAAATCTGAAGATGGTGAAGAAGCAGAGGCCATGTTAAACAACATGAGAGTTTATGGGACGTGCATTATTGCTCTCATGGCGATAGTAGTCTTTGTCGGAGTCAAATATGTCAACAAACTTGCACTAGTCTTCCTTGCTTGTGTGATCCTTTCCATTATTGCCATTTATGCTGGCGTTATTAAGACTGCTTTTGACCCACCAGACTTTCGGTAAGTGAATTGTCAGGATGTATTTTATTACTTTAATATGTTCAACTTTGAGCCATATTCTGGAATATGAGCATGGTTGTTACAACCTTAGAATTTCTACAGATTGGTGTAGACAGATGGGTGCAGAACAACCAAACATATATTTTGCTCTCAGAAATTATTAACGTGTGCACTCAAATACCTTCTTGTCTGTATGGTATGTGACATTTTGGGAGGTATTCTTTTATGTGAGGTTTTTAAGGTTCTGAACTCTGCTTTTTGTGGTCTTTTGGTGTTTGAGTGTTTCATTTTGTGTATGTTGTTTTGTTTTTTACCTAATGGATAACTATATATCCACTGTTTACACTGAAATATACTAAAAATAAAACCAAATTAATTTCCTTTCCTGTTTTTTAACTTTTTTTTTTCCCCCCCTCCCTCTTTCTTCCTGCCCCCTTCCCACCCCCAAGTATTGAGAATATTTTGTTGTTAGTTTTGGGGAGTTTATAGCAAACTTTTTCCCTGCGTGTTATGATGTAACACCATGTTTAAAGATTTTCTTTCTCGTTTAAAAAATACTTCCCTACTTCAGGACTGAGAGGATAAATGCATTAAAATGCTGTGAGGCAACAGGGGCTAGATTCACACAAGGATTTAAGTACAGTCTTTAAAAAAAAAAAAAAAAAAAAAAAAAAAAAAAAAAAAAAACACAAAAAACAAAAAAAAAAAAAAAAAAAAAAAAAAAAAAAAAAAAAAAAAAAAAAAAAAAAAAAAAAAAAAAAAAAAAAAAAAAAAAAAAAAAAAAAAAAAAAAAAAAAAAAAAAAAAAAAAAAAAAAAAAAAAAAAAAAAAAAAAAAAAAAAAAAAAAAAAAAAAAAAAAAAAAAAAAAAAAAAAAAGCAAAAAAACCTTCCCGCCCCCCCCCCCCCTTATACTGTGGATACCAGAATGCAAAACTGGTCTCAAGCTCTTGCTCAATTTAACTGTCAGCGTTGGCCCTAGACAACCCAGGGACCCAGGCTGCTCATGCCCAATTTTCATTCTCAACTGAGTATTAGGCATCCAGGACAGAGCCCTGTCTGTTCTTCAGAATTGGGCTGGGGGAAACCCTGGATCCAGCCTTGGCAATTAGGATATTTAGGATCTGAAGAATTAATATACTTAATATATTAGGCTGCGTGAAGCTTTAGGTGCTGATTCGATTTGGAGGAGATTCGGGCCGATTTGGCAGCTGAATCTCCGAATATGAATTGAATCAGGAGACCAATAAAAAGGTCTGAATCGATTCAAAGCTCTCTGAATTGATTCATAAAAGATTCAGAGAGCTTTGGAAGTTCGGGCAGTCCCTGTTTGCAGCCGCAAGGAGCTGGACCCAGACTCCGTCCCGGTAACTAGGTGGCGGGGCGGAGGGGCTGAAGGAAAGAAGAGGGGATTATGGAGGGACCCATGCCAGACCCCATCCCCTGCTTGCTCTCCCAGCCCCATCAACAATTTTTTGGTGTGTTCATTCTGGTGCGCAGTTGTTGTTTGTTTTTTTTCTATATATTTTCCTTTAGGGCATTTGGTACACTGGATGAGAGAAATTATATTTCCGGAGATACGGGTATAAGATCCAGGAATGGTGATGGTTCTGTTGTGAGGTGTAGTTGTTGTGGGAGTGGTAGAGATATGTTGGTAGGTTTTGCATCTTTTGTCCCGGCATGCTGTGGATCCATTTGGTGCGTTTTGGGCCATAGGAAGTTTGCTTTTCGTGATGAGGTTGGTGAGGTTTGGTGCTTGTTTAAAGACTAGGTTGGGTGGTTCTGGGAAGATCTCTTTAAGAATTGGGTCGTCTTCTAGTGTGGGTTGCAGTTGTTGTTTCAGGATTTTTTGTATAGGTTCCAGAGAAGGCTGGTATGTCATCATAACTAATGGTGTGTGATTCGTGGGGATTTTCTTTCTGTACTGCAGCAATTCTTCATGTGGTATCCAGGTGGCTCTTTCAAAAGTATGATCTATCTGTCTAGAGGAGCATCCTTGTTGTGTGAAAGCCCTTCTGAGATTTGAGGTGATGATTGAAGATGATGATGTTCTTGGTGCAAATGTAGTGGTTTCAGAGGGTTTAGCTGTATATTACAGCTTTTTTTGGTGTGTTTAGGGTGACTGCTGGTTATATGTAGATATATATGCTGGGCCGTGGTTTTTTTTGTATATGGTGGTTTGTATTTTACCATTCTTGATATTGATCACAGTGTCTAAAAAGGAAGTGTTGGTGCTGGAGTATTCAAGAGAAGTATCTTGATTTTTATACTTGTGCTATGGTAATGAAGGATTTGCAGAAAGAGGAGTATTGACTAATCAAACTGAAGACAATCTATTAAATAACTATTGTGTTTTATCTTGGATCTCTTTTCCATGTAGTATTTGTCTTCTTGGAAACCGTACGTTGTCAAGACGCAACTTTGACACTTGTGCCAAATTTACTAAAATAGATAATAAAACAGAGACTACGAGGCTGTGGAGACTCTTCTGTGACAGTGCCTTGCTCAATGCCACGTGTGATGAATACTTCAGCTTAAATAATGTGACTGAAATTCAAGGAATTCCTGGTGTAAGCAGTGGAGTCCTAATTGGTATGTGAAATCTGAACAGTCAAATTTTAAGATTTTTTTTTTTTTTTCCGGAATGGTCTTTAATGTAGTCCCTAGCTCTTAATGCAAGTGTGGTGTGCATATGTAAATTTTTTGGGGTTTTTTGTTTTTGTGTTTTGGGGGTTTTTTGGTGGTATGTCACAAATATCAGTTTGTTTTATGAAATGCATGCATTTTGGAAAGTGTTTCTTTCTTCTGCTAACACTTAACAGTATTCTTTTCCATAATCGGACTACTATACAACGGGTGTGAGAGAGAAGCTGACCAAAAAGTTTTTTTCCATCTTGGAATATTACTATTCTGGAGGTTTTATTTGATAATGTTAATGGTATTTTTAGTTTCTCTTTTAATATTTTTCTTGGGTTAGTCTGGAAGTTGGAATTTTTATTTTTATAGAATGTGCAGCAAGAAGGAAACAGGCTTACTCCATTGAATGTTTAAAATCCAAATACCTTAATTTATTGATCATCACCACCTATTTTTTTCCAAGTAGCTGATTGTCATCCTGTGTGCTCCCAACATGAGAAATTAGCTCGTCCTTTTTGTATGGGGAGTGACCACCTATCAAAACAAACTACCAGAAAAACCAAACCCCACCCCCCAAACCAACAGGGAGATGGAATCTGTTTCCTGTTTTTGTAAGAAGCGTTCCAGAAATGTTGTGTTATATATAAAAAAAAACAAAAACAAAACAAAAACAAAAATTACCCAAAAAACAAAAGACAACTGGTTTATAAGACTAGTTCTTTGTTTGAATTGGAGACAATATTGTTTTACCATGCATTTTTGGATAATACTGGCTCTTGCTTGTTTCTTTCCAGATAACTTATGGAGTACCTATTCAGACAAGGGATCGGTTGTTGAAAAGAGAGAACTGCCATCGCTTACTGGAACAGAAGAAACAAAAGTTGCAGGATTACCTTATGTTTTCACAGACATCATGACTTTCTTCACCATGCTAGTAGGGATCTATTTTCCATCGGTGACAGGTCAATACAGCTGTTTTTCACAAAAGAAAATAAATGTTTCCAGATGAAAAGATACTGCTTGTGCTAACTGTATGCGACTGTTGGTACTTATTTCCCTAGTTTGGGCACCCTGTGGCACCCTTGAAGGGATCTCAAAGCACCCCACAGTGCCACAGCACCTTGGTTGAGAATCACTGAGTTGGGGCATTTATAGATGTGCTCCAGGAAGCTGGAGGACACTTTAATTGGCACTGTTTTAAGAGCTGTATTAATTAAAGTGCCCAGAGTGTCATGTATATCAGCATCTCTGCACTAAAAAATAGGAATGGGGTGCTTTGAACTAAAGCTCATCGAACAAGTTTTAGTTTAAACCCCCCACTGCCATTTTTCAGCATGGGGACGCTGATGCACGTGACACTCGAGTCTGCTGGAGCATGGTAATTACCATGTTCCAGAAAACTCCATTAATCGAGTCTGCTCCAACATGCTGTATTTACAATACGTCAGAGCAGACTCCCTACAAGTGTATAGGAGCCCTTGGAAACTAATATGAAGGACTTATGCTGTAGGCTGGTGGTCTCAGATTGGAGAAAAGATAGCAAAAGAGATGAGGTGTGTTGGTCAATCACAGGGTGGCCATATTGCTGCTAACATAACTAGGGTGGGGTGAACAGGGCACTTGCCCTAGGCACTGGCCATAAGGGGACTCCAGGATTGTCCCCTGGGAGTCTGCTCTGGCAGGGGCAGCTATGCACTGCCCCTGCCCAGCCATAGGGACTTTGCATTGCTACATGCCTGTGTTATCTCACTAATGTGATGTGACTGTGGAAAAGGATAGATTAGGCAGGATCTTTTTGGTAGACGGGGAAAGTATTAGCACCCCTGTACATGGCATTGGTAAGAGTTCATTTGGACTAGTGCATGCAATTCTGGTAACTTACGTTCGAAAGAGATGAGTTCCTATTGTAATAGCTGCAGGGAAATGCTTTTGAGGTGTTTGCTGGAATAGAGAATCTGTCACGTTAGACGAAAAGAGTAACTTGTTCAGCCTAGCAAAATGAAGGTTGAAAATGATATGGCTATTCTATCGATACATTTTAGGGGGAAAAAAACAAAGGTAATACTGGTTAAAATAAAAATGGGTATTAATGGCTCATGGACAAAGATGCAAGGAGGCTTCTAATCATCACAGATGTGAAATTCTGGGATGGACAATACTGGGGGGGAGGAGGGAGGTTGTTATAAGACAGATTTGATAAATTCATGAAAAGGATGATCTTTGAATTGAAAATCGAAATTTGTGATAAAATGCTTGTGGTGCTTGATACCCTCAAAAGAGGTTGAAAGGAGATTTTGATCCATGTCGGTTATTTGCCTGTGAAGGAAGTGTTTGGTGGTGCTGTGCTAGGTTTTGCTAACAGTAAAGACAGATTTGGGTTACAGAAGATGAAGCTAGAGCAAGTGATCTAAAGGTAAGACATGGCTTCCATGGGCAGTAAGGTGAGGTTGAGTGTTGGAACAGTTTTTGGCATAGCAATGACAAGCTTGCAACATCTTTGGGTTTTTGGGGTGACAGAGCCTTTTTCAAGGATGTGCTTTTATTTTAGATTTCTATGGTTTGTTTATGCAAGAAAGGAAGTTTTGACTGGATAATCGTGATGACCTTTCTGGGTTCGGTTTCCTTTGATTGTTATCTTCTTTCTCCTGAGCTTTCAGTAATAACAACTTTTTATTTAAAAAAAACAAACAAACAAAAAAAACCCACAACATATTTAGAGCGTATATAATTACATTTTATTTAACTGTAACCCCCTGTTTCAAGACTTGCATTGATTTCCTGAAGGGGTACTGAGAAATCTTTGGGACCTAACTGGTGTAATTTCTCACAGGCTCATATTTTAGCTAATCATCAGATTAGGTGACAAAGGAATTTTCCCTTGCATCAGATATGCCAGGGGCAGTTTTGTAGCATGGAGCATGATCCACCTCCTGGCACCACCCAGACATGTTTTTATATAAAAATTCCCCAGCATCACAGAACCTGAAGGCATAGTATAGTCAGCCCTCTTGGTTTCTTCTGTTCTTTCCCAGTAGCCCATTATAGTTTTTTGTACTGGGTATTTTTTTGTACTAAAGGGTCCTGAGTTTGCCATCAGGTTTGACATGGTGCTCTGGGATGTGGTTTGGAGAGGGAGTGGACCTTTTGAATATGAACATCTAATTACAGGGTACCTACAGTTGCAGGGGACTGGACACAATGGGGTAGTCCCTTCCAGACATGTGTTACTAGTGATCTACCATTTCCATTGATTCTTTATCAGGCATTCAACAGGTCATATATAATGTACTCTGTGAGCTGCCTATAATTCCTCTCTTCCAGAGGTGGGATAAAACAGCTGAGTCTGAGTTTGAGGTCAGGCTATCACTACATTTACGATGGCACTTGCTGTTGGTTGACAAACTGAGCAGTTGCAGGCACAAGGACCTACTTTGTTACAGATGTGGTGCCTTGTTTCTCCAGTCTCTCTGGGGTCCCTTGGGCCTGGTCTACTTTTTGCTGGAGCATTTCCTCACCCTTATGGATTGTTACCTGACCTGGACTGTAGGCTCCTCACTACCCTTACCATGTCCCTCTCGCAGCATCCACCCCTTCTAGCTTGCTTGCTTCATGTTCCTTGCACAGTTAACTGACTAATTATGCGTCTCAACTTTGACTAACCAGAAACTTGGTTCTTACAGGCACAAGTTGTAAACAGGTCACTCCCATGTTAGTTTTTAGCCTCCTCAACATTTGTCACATCTAAACTGTTTCTTGGTTTTTAATAAAATCCTTATTTTGGGTTACAGCTTCAGAATAGCTTGTTACCACCTTTTCCCTGAACCACCTGAAATTTCTTTTTATGATTTGAATACTAGCTCAAGTTTCTGAAGCAATGAACAGTTTAAAATTGTAGGTATGTTGTTCTGTGTGTTACAGACTTTTTTTTTCCTTTGTTCAATCAAGTCTTGTTTGGTGTGTTTTGCTATGACCACATGCATGCGTACACAGAGTTTATTAATACTTGCATAATAGAATTGCTAATAATTTTTGTGGTGCTTTATAAAGCTGATTTTTTTTCTTCCTTATTTTTAGGTATTATGGCTGGTTCGAACAGATCTGGTGACCTTAAGGATGCTCAGAAATCTATTCCCACTGGAACAATTTTGGCCATTTCAACAACATCCTTCATTTGTATCCTTTAACGCAATCAAATAACTTAATTTTTTTTCAAATATATATTGGAAGGCATAAGTGTGCAGGACTTAAGACTTCTCATTTTAGTTTTTACTGGGCAATAATTCATGATGGGTGCTGTTTACAACAAACAGCAACAGCAGCACCTAAACTGAACGGAAATCCTAAATATTTTCTATTTATTCTCACAATTCCAAGTTAAAATAAATTTGTTATGGATACTGTTCAAGGATGCAAAAATCATGCTGGTTTAATCCTTTTTTACATATATTTTGGCCTGGTCAATGCAATTAGTAACTGTTTTGTTTTGTTTTTTGTTTGACTTTCAAATATAATACTGGATAATAATACCAGGGGGAAAAAAACGGTGCAATGAAACATTTAGAAGTGTAGAAACTGCAAATGCTTATTTTACAAGTAAATATACACTGTATGTATATGTATATGTTGGTTACTTTCAATGCTATCTTTGGGATAAGGTTAAATACAAGAGGCCATGAAAAAACATAGGTAACTTTTTCCCCCGCTAGAGCTAGAAGGGGGCAAAAAAAATAGTTTATGCTTCTGACATTTTTACAGTTTTTGGGTATGGTTTCCTATTTTTCTATACATTGAAGTATGTAGAATACAAGAGGACTCTTATATTTCCTTCACTCAAAAAATAGATCTGTCATGCATAGTCTTATTTGGTGCCTGTATAGAAGGTGTGATATTAAGAGATAAGTGAGTTGCATTTAATTTTTATCTCAAAGTGCATGTTTTTTGTAAATTGACTTGGATTATCTGAATCAGTAGTTGTTTATTTTGGCAATTGTTTTATTAAGGTATTGTTTTCTAACTTTATTGCAACTTCAGTTAAAATTCTTAATTTCTTAGTGTTCTTTTAATGTTTACAAACAAGACCAAAGGGGAAGCTAAAGAACTACAAAAAAGTCAATTATTAACGTAATACAGACCTGTCTTAATTCTGCATCCTTATGTTTCTGGATGCACTACTTGCAAAACCATATGAATTGTAGAGGATTTAGTTAACTTTCTAATGATGGGTTAGTATTACTAGAAGGTTAGGTGAGCTAAACATAGGGGCTAACCTTCTTTGAACGGTTTCTATTGTTGAGAGCATGTTGCACCTGCATTATGATCACTGCTGGCTGCCAATTCTCTGCCTGAAATTCAGAATGCTAATTATAGTCTAATTGAATAGTGAGACATCTTAATCCTAGGTCTTTCAAAGACTGTTTTTCACTTGTCTTGCCACAGCACCTGCTCTGGAAAGTAAAACTGTATTTTGTAGCTGTAACGGTGCTGGAGCAGAGCATTTCGGTGGGCAGCATTCCACCTTTGTAACTTGTAACTTTGTTAGATAAATGCCACAAGCCTAAACCAGGTTGGGTTATCACAAGCTGCAAAGCATCGAAATATCATTTGACAATTAAGAGCAAAATTAACGGCCCAGTTGTGTGAATTCATTATTTTAAGGACTTGAATGTAGTAGTACCACAGGCATGTACTTCTCTGCTGAAAATCTACCATGTGCAAGTGTGTACTGAAACTCAGGTTTTGACAACTAAATTTTAGGCAAACGTGGGTTTTTGGAAACTGATCCTACCTGCAAGGCTGCTTTCTGTCAACTGATCCTGCCACTTGTAGGCATAGTGTCATGTTCTTTTACCTGTTCTAGTGTTCTTGAAGCCTGAAAATAACTTGTAGATAATAGGCCAAAAAGGAATTTTTACTACTGTATTTATTCAATTCTAAATTGACCTTGAATTTAAGATGGACGCCTCCCCAATAATTAGATTTCACACTACTGCCTGGCCAGCAGGAGCTAAAGTAATTTGGCTCACACTGGAAGGCTAGATGGGTGTGTGCTTGGCTATTCTGGCATCTGCTGGCCAGCAGCAGCTCCGAGTGACTTGGCACATGCTGGCCAGAAAGCTCGCAGGCTGCAGAGACTCGGCCTGGCCAGTGCTTGGCCAATTGTATTCAAGGAGCCTGGCCAGTTTGTGCTGAGTTGCTTTGGAAGCATGCGCTGGCCAGGCTCCTTGTAAGCAGCCAGTAATGACCCAGCAGGCACTGGCCAGGCATGGTCCTTGCAGCATGCAGGGTTTCTGGTCAGTGCATACCAAGTCCCTGTGACACCTACTAGCCAGGCAGCAGCTTGGAGCAACCCTTTACTGGCTGGCCATAAACACTACACACTGCACAGTAGTGTGGCAGTTAAAAACCTTGCTAACAAACTCCTGCGCAGTGTTATTAGGCTAATGCTCAGTAAGCATCACAAAATAACAGTGCACTGGAGCTACTGCACATTTAGTTATTACTTCTTTAAGCAAGTACTAAACTAAATTTCACCATAAGAGACCTGCAGAACATTTAAGGAGCTCGTGCCTTTTTAAAAATCTGCATTAAAAGGTTTTGGGGTTTTTTTTCACGGCAGAGGCTTTTAAAACTTAGTTCTTGTCATGGTTGGTGTTACTGTGTCCTGGCAATTAGCTTGATACCACAAGCAGTTCAGAGTATGTAAGCATGGTCTTCCTAGTGGTATAAATTCTGTTAAGTATGTGTACATCAGGGGTGGGCAAAATGCAGCCTGTGGGCCAGATCAGGCCTGCGAGCCCATTCTATCCGGCCTGCAGGGCCCTTAAAAAAATTTAGAAAATAAATATTAATCTGTCTTTGGTTCCTGTCAAAAATGACAGGAACATGGGGCAGTAAGACCTAGGGGAAGCCCAGTGGGCTCCAACAGCAGGGCCTACCCAGCCCTGCCCCACAGCTGCAAGCCCCAGCAAACGCAAGTGGGGGGGGGGGGGCTGCAGCTGCTGCTGCTGTGCGCAGCCCTGACAGGCGATCCCGGAGCTGGCGCAGGGCCTGGGCTGGCAGCGGGGACAGGTTACAAGCTGGTGCTGTGTGTGTGGAAAAGTGGCCCTGCCCCATGGCCGGCGCCCCATGCTGCAGCTGCTTGCAGCCCACGTGGGGCTGCCTGTGGTATGCTAATGACAGCCCCGCATGGGCTGTGAGTGCCTGCAGTGGGGAGCGCTGGCCATGGGGCAGGGGAGGGGCCACTTTTTTCCCTGCCCTCAGCACCAACTCCTTCCCTGCTGGGGAGCAGGGGGTCAGGGCTGCACACTGCCCCCCACCTGTACCGCAGGGCTGGGAGGGGCACTGGGAATGAGCGAGTGCATGGGACCCATACCAGTGTCCCGGGACCAGTGCTGGTGGGGCCCAGAGCAGGGTGGCAGGAGCACAGGGTGCCAGCCAGCAGAGGCTCTGTGGAACCGGGCCAGCTCTCCCCTCTCCCTGCTGGTGGAGCCCAGCCTTGCTCCAGAGACCCCTGCCAACCTGCACCCTGCTCTGGGCCCCACTGGTGCTGGCCCTGGGACATTGGTCCCAAGCTGGTGACCAGGGGGCATGGCACCTGTCAAGGGGCGGGACTACCCATGCAGCCCTCACAGCTTTCCAAAACTGGGTAAGTGGCCCTCCGCCTGAAATAATTTCCCGCCCCTGGTCTAGATGCTGTGGGGGGTTTTATGCTTTGTAAAAAACATGTCATAATAACAATAGTAAATGGCAGAAGTGGTCTGAAACTTAGGTTCTGATTGATTAATATTATAATGAGTTTGAGAGTAATCAGTAGCTAGGTAAACCCTAAGATGTATAGTTTTATTCTGGTATGTCATTTACTAATTGCTGAGAGAGAAATTAAGAGACATACATGTCGAGTTACACCTAGAAAAATTACTTGAGCACTTGCTGCTCTCTTGCTAATTTATTTGCTTTTCCCCACAGGTTTGGAGAAGCAGTTAATGGAAACCTAGTGATTGGTACCTTGGCATGGCCTTCCCCATGGGTGATTGTAATTGGTTCATTCTTTTCAACATGTGGTGCTGGTCTTCAGAGTCTCACTGGTGCTCCCCGGCTGTTGCAGGCTATTTCAAGAGATGGCATTGTCCCATTTCTTCATGTGAGCTAGTATTCCTTCTTAAATAATTTAAATGCATTTATACTTGTTGAGAAAAATACTTTTTAATTCTTTTTATTTCTTTCCCCCTGCAGATCAATGAGTGTGAAGTTAGTCTATTTGAGACGAGAATAGTAGACCAAGTTGCAACTGCAGGCCAAAAGCTGCCTTTTATTTGTTCTTGGGCAATTTCATTTTCTTTATTTTACAGACAGTAAAATTTCTCGGTTGAAACTGAGGCAGAATTTGGGCCCGTGGAATGTGCAAGCTAGAAAATAACCAACATCATAACTTTTAGATTCCAGATTGGGTTTGGATTGTTAGTTTGTCTGTTAGTTTAAGTAAGTAAATTTGATCTTGGCATAGAACTATGTGATGCTATTTTAGATTCACTCTTCATAGGGGAAGTGGAGACCTACAATTTAAGGCATTACTCATTGTGTGTGAAAGAGAGCCAAGGCAGGTGTAAATGTTGTTTCCTTTTTCTCTGACACTGAATCTGAACAGCAAGACCTAACTGTGACTGAAATGTCACTTTTTCTCTGATATGAGTAGAGTTTAGAAAGTGTAGACAGGACAGTGTCCTGGGTGTTGCAGGGTTTGGGAAAAGCAGAGGGACCTGAAAAACAAGTGGCTTAAGATTTTAGTCTGGACAGAACAAAGGTGGTGCTGATAAGCACAAACAAGCATTTTGAAGAGTTCACAAAAACAGTCAATTCACCTTTTTAATAGAGGATACCCAACTAAAATATTGTGGCAGTGCCCATGCTTTTCTGGTGAAGTCTTTCAAGCCTTTATCTTAAGACAAGACAAGAGGCTAAAGGTGTCCCCATTCCAGGAGACAGTTCTTTCTGTCTCTTATCTTCTCCCACCCCAATCCCAACAATTGCACCTCCTGCCATGCCACATGTGATGGTATCCTCTGCTGCTCTGTTCCTGGCAGCCCCTGCTCCCTCCTCTTCCTTCTCCCCACTACCCCACTTCACCTCCTAGCCTTCCCAGCCTTAGGCTGGGGTTGCCAATTGGCTAATTGTCGTTTCTGGCCACATGTTACATCTAAGGCACTATATACAACAGCCATAAAAGATGTTCTATGCTATATGCAAAATATTTTTATGGCTCGTTGCCCATTTTATGGTGTCTTTTTAACTTGGGTGATCATGTAGCGCCCTTCCCATTTATGCTGTTATTAACATGTTAATGAAGTCTTGAGTACTGCAAGGTAATGATTACAGGAGGGACCTTGCCATTTTTGGAAATTTTTGAAGTTTGAAGAATTAAAGTGTATTTTTCTTTCCTCAAGCCTTTCACTTTCAAGTTTGCTTTCTCGTGTGTGTATAGAGGACAGTGCAGATATTTGGATATAAAAGTATTTGGAAAATTTGCCTTTAACCAGAAACTGTAAGAGAACTTATAACTAGGTTCCCTTATGTGTTGGTCGTAACAATAACCTGGCGAAAATATTTTCAGATGTTTTGTCTTTAAAGCTGGTGTCTTGAGTACATTTTAAGAACTACTTATTGAACTGATTTATTCTTTCTTCCCTTGCCTCTTTGCTATTTAATTAAACTGAATTAGGTATTTGGTCATGGAAAAGCAAATGGAGAACCAACCTGGGCTTTGCTTCTCACTGCTTGTATTTGTGAGATAGGAATTCTCATAGCCTCTCTGGACAGCGTAGCACCGATTCTTTCAATGTAAGTTTCAATGAGACGTTTGCTGATATTTCTTAAAGCTTTAATGAATGAATTAAGTCACTAGGGAAATAACTTTTTTCTTGTCTTTGAAATAATTGACAAATCTTTGGGGGGGGAGGTTTGGGTGGTTTTGTTTGTTTGTTTGTTTGTTTGTTTGTTAGCAACGTTCATAGTTAAAACAGAAGAGAATCTGCATTGCCCACAAACCTAAAATCCTTGGCCGCATCTAGATGAGTGTGGCTGTGTGGCATGTGGCGCCACAAACATACCTACAGCACCACATAACACACATTCATATGTTCTCTGCTCTGCAAGGGAGCGCTGCCCAGATATCCAGGAGTCAAAAAAACTTGCAGAAAAATTAGAGCAGCGCATGCACAGGCAGCGCGCTCAAAAACAGTCAGGCTGGCTAGAGCTGCACTGCAGCTGCTGGCCAGGCTCCTCATGGCTGAATTGCCATTGCTGCAGCCCTGGGAGGCCCCTAGGTAAGGCTGCTGGGGCCAGCATAGTGCTGGCCCCAGCCTCTCCTGCCGCACCTGGAGTAACTTGCTATGTGCCAAAGTGCACATGGCGCAGGCGTTCCACAGGGACACATAGCTGCGCTGCAAGGTGTGCCACCCCTAGTCATTCCCGGGGAACCAAATGTGTGGACCCGCTTGTGTGGACATGGCCCTTGAGTTTATTTTAAAATGTAATGACCTCTATAAAAACACTTGATGTGTAGTGCTGAGTAGCATTTTGATTTGAAAATGAGTTGCACAAAAATCAATCCAGAATGGGTCAAAACTGACTAAAGGATCTAGGTAAAATCACTTATAGGCAGAGTGTTATCCAATCGGAGTGTTTTATAGTGTCATCACATAACATTTAAAAAAAAAATAGAATCCTATTTAATGTCTTTATCAGTGATTTGAAACAAAATACAAAAACATTGCTGTTAAAAGATTTGTACGTGCTGAACATGTTGGGGACCAATAATGATGAGCAATCCAGATCTGTGGAGTAGATGTGGTTTGGACAAACACATTTGAATACATCTAACTGCAAGATTATATATTTAGGAACCAAGTTTCTAGGATGGGACCTCATCTTCTAAAAATGGAGCGACTCTGACTAGGCATCCGAGGTCCCTGAGTGAATAACTATAACCTCCCAGTGGGGGATGTGGGAGTGTAGTCATCAAATTAAGTATTTGGATCTATTATCTTAAAATTATTGGGTCTGTTAGCTGGACTAGAAGTAAAAAGGTGTTATTACCATTATGTACAAGTTTTTAGAGAGACTGTCTGTCAGATATTGTGCTCAGTGCTGTTGCATTGTGAGGTTGGCCTGAATGAGAAGTTATCACACAGTGGTTTTCCTGAAAAGTTGAGCTGGGTTGGAGCAGCCCTGGCTGGCAGGGAGTTTCGGGGGTCAGCCTCCCAGCCTGGGGCTGATTTTCCCCTCCCCCCCACCTCAGCTCAACGTGCTGTGGAGGGGCTGGCTGGGGCAATGTGTACTGCTGCAGAGTTTTACTCTACTGCAGGCTAGTACTTGTATTTATAAGTACTATCCTGCTGTGGAGTAAATTAATTTACTTCAGCCTAATATGAGTGCACATGCAGATGTAAGACATTTATTGCTCAGCAAATTAGTCTACTGCTCAGTAAATGTCTTTGTATAGACGCGTCGAAGGTGAGCATCAAACCAGATACCTCTAGACTGCCCAAACAGGGAAGTTTCTGTAGCGCTTCCATTGGAGCCTGAGCCCTGACATCTTCTAGGCCTCAAGGGGGAGCGAGTTCCAAGTGTGACCCCTTGTGTTTTCATCAAGCGAGCTTGGTGCGCTGATGCTACTCAGGTGATTTGATCTTCACTGATCTGATGTGTCAAGTTGGGGTGTAAGGGAGAAAACTCCCTTACGTATGGAGGGTCCGGATTGTTTAGGATCTCATAGGTCAAAGCTAGCAACTTGACTTGTTCTCTATAGCTTTCTAAATTACCAGTGCAGTATAGAAATTGTATTGGGCATTTCTGTTCCTCCTTTTTTCAAACACAAGGCCAAAAGGATATCTGGTGAAATTTAAAAGGCACTACACTTTAAAATTGGTAAGGACTGCTTTTTAACAAAACACAATTAGCTTGTGGTTCATCTGACCCTTTTTTTAACATAGTTGTTTATTCCTATACTGGAGGGCTATAGAGTTTATTTCCTATTTCTTTAAATGTGTTTTTATTTTTTCTTCCCCCCCCACAGGTTTTTCCTCATGTGCTATATGTTTGTGAACTTGGCCTGTGCAGTACAGACCCTTTTACGAACTCCAAACTGGAGACCTCGTTTCAAGTTTTACCACTGGTAGGGTGTCTTCTTTATATGCATCTAATTTGGAAGAGTAAAATTTGATGGCTGACTCTTGCGTACGTCGAGTGTTTTCAGGAGTAGAGCTGATTTTTTTTATTTTATTTTTTTTCAGTAATCAGATTTACAATATTAAGGTTAAAGAGAGCCAAAAAAGCAGTAGAGAAAATAACTATTTTTCTCTTATTTTTTACAGTTGCTTATTCTCTGCAATAGAGAGAGAAACTAAGACTGGTAATTTATTAATAATAGCAGTACATATAAGGATAGCTGTAATTTAAACTTATGACTTTTTTTTTTCATTTTGATCCCTTGTCAAGTCACTGGCACCAAGAATAGTGCATAGTGTTGCGTCAAAGAAACAGGTGCATTTTTAAGAGTCGTTTTCTTTTTTGAAAGCAGCAGATCTGACTTGACTAATTACCAAATGTTTGAAAATCATATTTCTAATTGCACATGGATGGATGAGCCTAGAGAGTAGGTTTTTAGTTAAATTTCTAAAATACACAGCTAATGATGGATTTGCTGCATATGCATGTGTCCCTTGCATATCATTTATAGTGAAATATATTATTAAAAATGAATTGGAAAAACTGGGGTTTGGGAACGAGCCCCTTGCATCCATGGTAAGGTATAAAGCTGGTAGGAAGGATGGAATACTTGTAGGGTTATCTGAAGTGCTGCTCATTTATTTATTTATTTATTTATTTATTTACTCTTATTTTTTATTTTTATTTTTTTTGTACTATAAACTTTATTAAAGGAGTACTGCCTGTTGTTAATATGGCCTTTACAGTTCCCACTATAAAATTAAGCCTACCGCATTTCCAATTTTTTAACTGGTTGAGCTGAAGTTCTGTGGAAAGGCATATGTGATTGGTTCAGTCATTTCAGGAGGTGAGATTCATTTTACCCATGTTTAGGAAAAAAAAAAATTCCAGTTCATTGGGAAATCCGTGCGCCCAAATGCTTTAGACCAGGAACTTTGCTGTAGAATATATTGGTTTTTAAGGTGAATGTTCACAGGGACATAAATTTGGCAAAGTTCTGGCTTCTGGAATGTCCAAGTCTGAACGTGCTCGGTTGTGGTGTGACCTGAGCAAGTCCCATCCCAGGGCTCTGCATCCTCAGCTGGCCTTTCCATGCAAGTGTTCCTTTCAAGAGCAAGGCACACCGGACATCAAAAGCAGGGAGACCTTTTCCTGGGCTCTAAGTGCTTCTCCCTACCTGTGCCAAGCAATGAGGAGGGTGGAGAAGGAAGAAACAACCTGACTTGAATGCAGAGGGGGTGAGAGAGAAAGTAAGACGTATGGGAAGTTGAAAGAACCAGGAAGGAAGGCATAGGAGTGTGGGGAAAAAAAAAGCACCAAGAGTAGGACAGGTGCATGTGTAAGGCAGTAGATAGAAACGGCAAGAGGCAGGAGAAGTGCTAGGGAGATGTGAAGAGACAGATGAGAGGAACCACAGTAAATTCAGAATAGCTGCTAATGAATGGAAAAAGCCCCAGACATAGGGTATGATCATGTGCAAACTGCAAGTGTACAAGGAGGTAAAACAAGGTGCCAGTGCCTCCTTAATTTTGTCATTCCCAGGTTTAAGTGATTTACCTGGGCAGTATGCTTCATTGCTGCAGCTTTCTATTGGATTTTACTAATAGATCTGCAGAATAGATAGTCTGGCCAAGTGCATCAGATTGGGGAGTCAGGTTACAGTAGAAATGGACCATAGGTCTGCAGAATATTATCTTTGTGAGTTCCTCTTCTGAAACTGTAAGAAGTGTTTGCTCAGCAAAAGGAAAAGGCAAGCCATTTAATGCTTCCTTTAAATGAAAAAGTGAACTTTTCTGCCAGCACTGTACAATAGAAAAATGCATTTTATTGGAAGTTGTAGTTGCTGAGAGTGAGTTTAAAGTAAATTAAGGGCATAACTTTAAAAATGTTGCTTCAAATCTGTTCACTAATTGGATCTCTATGAGTTCCTGTTATACCTATGCAGTTACCTTTCTGTATATGCATAGTACTGATAACTTTAGCACATACTTTGTGAAAGAATACATTTTTGGGTTTTGTTACCAGGTCTAATTTTTTTCTAATATTCCTTTTAGTAATTTCAACCAGAGGCGCATCTCTTATCCTCAAAAACACTTTATTTCAACAGTGAAATGGGATCTGAGCTTTGTTGCATGTAAGATTAGAGCTCACTTAGTTATTCCCTGAAAATGCTCTTATTTTTTTTACTTATCATTGTATTATCTTTTTTTCAAGAGCCAATTTCAGAGCTGTTACTTTTACTCAAGTTTTGCACTAGTAATCTGTAAGATTCTGAAGTAGTATCTAAATTTTGAGCATTTACTAGTGAAATGCATTTGTGAAGTGTGTTGTTGCTACTGATGATGGCAACGTACAACTCCTATCAATTACTGTTAGCTCAAATGGCAGAGATGAGTACTGATACTATTTTTTTTTTTCTTCTTCCCCACAGGGACAGTCCCCTGCACATACTGTTTCTTAGGATAGGACGCAATTCTTAAATATTCATGTTTTATTGCTATTCTTCAGGGGGATAAACCCATGTCTTAAAAGCATCACATCGTGGAGAGGCTGCCCTGTATATAGAATTACTAATTCCATTATAGACTTTTTAAAGCATGGTACTTTTAGCCTTGTAGACATTAATTGGTTTATTAGCGTAATTCCACTGTGAGATACCATGCTCTATCATTTCCATTTTACAGACAGAACTGAGGTCGAACAAGAGTAGGACAACTTTTTGCAGAAAGGAAAACAGATGGTCACGGTATTGAGTGCCTCATTGATTTTTGTGATTCTAGACAACCGAAAACTGAAACCTTAGTATACTTACCCTATGTTTAAAAAGTGAAGTAGGGATTGGATAGATAATTATTATTTTCCCTGTTTTATAGAAAATAGGGGAAATTGAAAGTCAGATAATTATTTGCTTGAGGCCACGTGCTGAATCAGTGACAGGCAAGACCAGAACTAAAAACTTTTTTGATTTGCAACTGTGTCCTTTTCCATGTAGACTGCACTTTCTTCCTGTCAGCTTGTTGTATATCTGCAGGTTGTGTTGATCAGAGTTGCTATAATGAATGCTTGCCCTTTACAGCAATCAGGCCCCAGGTATTTCGAGTTGGACACCTGGAAAACGAGGAGCATGTCCTGCTATAGAATAATGATGATTCATCTAAATATATGGGTCTCTGCTGGATCCCTTCAGAATAATACTAGTCTGAAACCCCAACATTTCTAATGACTAACTTGAAATTTCCCCTTCCTAGTCATGTGTAGATGAGGGTTATAAGAGACTATGGTCCCTGTCGTATAGCAGGGTAATTCTGGTAGACAGCATGTGTTAATAAGTATTATAAGCTTGTACTAGAAGCTCCTTTAGTACAGATGTTAGTATTTTATAGTAATTACTGGAGTTGAAGGCAGTGCATTTTAAAGTAACATGTTAGTGATCAAGTAACCTTTGAAGTTGTGACTTTTTTTTGGCAGTTAATTAAATTGAAAAACGGACTTTGAACATTAGCATAAATGTTTAAAAAAAAAAAAAAAAAAAAGCCAACAAAACCTCAAAAATGCTTTGTTCTTCTTAGGACTCTCTCATTCCTGGGGATGAGTCTGTGTCTTGCCTTGATGTTCATCTGCTCTTGGTACTATGCTTTGATTGCTATGGTGATTGCTGGATGTATTTACAAATACATAGAGTATAGAGGGTAAGACTATATTTTATTTGTTTACTTTATATTTAATTTGCCCAGTAGGGTCTGAATGCAGGTGTAAAATAGTGTCCAAACCAAATTTTTCTACCATCTCAGCATGTACAAGAAAACCTGACTCTCAGATACCAGAAGGTGACAACTCAGACTGCATGTTAAAAAGATAATCTGTCACAAACCCAGGACCTCCGTCTCATCTTTTTATCACTGCAGCCCTTCCTGGATGGAAGGAGAACAGTCTTCATACTTTCCATACGCTAAATATCTGTCTGGTAGCTACTATCTTCAAAAAGGCAATATTTCAAACTTCAGAGACCAATATTATATTTCTGACAAATACTGTATTAATCCGGTCCAGTAATCCTCATAATCGACACAACTTTTCTCTTTAAAGTAATACCACTTTGTATATGAGATGCATTCTCCCTTGTTTCTTTCCATCAAACATTAGAGTCCAGTCTTTAGGAACACTGACAATCTCATAGGTTAGGAGATGCCAAGAGGATCAGAGCAACCGTGGCTGTAGCATTTCTGCAGTCATTGAAGCTCAGAATGTTCCATTTTATGAGCCAACATGTGGTGTACTGAAGCTGGTTTTTAGGCATTTTGTTCTAACTACTAAACAAGTCCTTTCATTATTAGAAAAGTACTGTTTCATACTGTATTGGGAAATGTGCTCTGTTAATGGACTTTCTATTCCTGATTTTCTCAGAGCTGAGAAAGAATGGGGGGATGGAATCAGGGGGTTGTCCTTGAATGCGGCTCGCTACGCTTTGCTTCGGGTTGAAGCAGGACATCCACACACCAAGAACTGGAGGTAAGAGCCCCGGGAGTCTTATTTTTAATGCAGATCACTTCAGAAATAGGAATGCTATTGATTGCCAAAATCTAGTCAAGGCTTCACCAACCCTAGAAGTAAAGTAGAATTTCCTAGAGTGAAACTTATTATTATTTTTTTTCTAGAACAAATAAACTAATAGTCAGAGTTGACTGAAACTGGAATGGCATTTTGCACATTGCAGTGACTTCTGGTATGTTTCATCAGTTCTATTGTCATAACATGTTAGCAGGATTCAACTGTATCAGTGGTCCCCAAACTTTCTAAAATTACAGAACCCTCATATATCACTTCTGATATGGAAGACCTACCGCTGTCCTGTGAAGTGGCACAGAGCCAGGCAACTTGGCCCAGCAATGCAAATGCTCTGCCTCCTGGCCTGCTCTGCCATTACCCCCAATCTCTCTTTGCAGAACCTCTGATATACTGCAGAACCCTAGAGTTCTACAGATTCAGCTTGAAAACCACTGAAGTCACTCAAGATGTAAATAAATTAGGGCTGTCAATTAATCACAGTTAATGTGCGCAATTAACGTGTTAATCAGTTCTTGCATTAATTTTTTTAATTGCTCACAGTTTTGGAGCCTGCACCTGGGCTCTGCTCTACTGTCTGTGGGCCACCCGGTAGGGGAGTGGTGGCAGTACAGAGGTCTGCAGGGCGGCCTGGGTTCAGGTTCCAGGCAGCTGCAGTAGGAGGGTGGGAGGCTTGCGCACAGGCGTGTACACATACATGAGCAGTCACAACCTGCATGCTGCATGTAGAGCAGTGCTGCACCAGGAAGTCTGTGGAGGGGGGGAGGAATGAGCCCCCCA